CATTCATTCATTCAACAAACATTTCCTGAACACCTACTGACAAGCAGGCACTCTGTTCACCACTGGGGGAATGGTGTTGAATCAGATATAGTTCTTCACAGAAAGCTTACATCTAGAGTGTAAATAGAGGCAACTTCAGTGCGGTAGGTTTGGGTGCAATGGCAGCATTCAGATGGACACCCCGTTATCTATGGGAAATCCTGTAGGGCTTCTTGGGTGGGGAGGCATTTACTCTGACCTGAAAATGCACAGAAAAGTCTGACCTATTAGGGAAGGATGACACAGGCGTCCTAAGTCACTGGGTGCAGGTACAGGCAGACCAGAACTTCTGTATACAGACCAGTGCACACAAGGAGGGAGTAGGACCAGTAAGGATAGGTTCAGTCAAATGTTCTAGGTAGAAGGTTGATTTCTCCAGGTGGACCAAATACTTCTGATCCACATTGTTCTTTGGGGAGTGGAGATTTGAGCCTTGGTTTAAGTTGCACCACATTCCAGAGGGTCTGTGGGGTGGGTGAAAATGAGCACCATGCACAGACAGCTTCACGGGGCTGGGGCAGACTCCCAGCAGTGGGTCTGCACAGGATCTCAGCTCGCAGTTTAGCCTCCTGGAAGCAGTGTGAAGACTGGTCAGATGTCAGCACCCCAGTGTCTGAAGGGCCAGTCTGCCTTCATGCTGGATCTCTGAACTGGCCTTGGGGGATGCCCTAGTTGTCATCCTGCACCCTGTTCTTGTTTCCAGGGCAGGCGTCACTGAATTGAACATGCCCAGATGTGATGGGTCCCTATCTGTGACAGGAATGACCTATGTCCGCCTAACCTGATGCCTTTTCCTCCTGGGCCGACTCCATTTCCCCTCCGTTACAGTTTGGCATGACCACCTGTCTGAATTCAGACTAAGGAATAGAGGGTGGGAATGATCATGCCACTTTCGGCCTGCGAAATGCTTCTTCACTACATCCTCTGTCTGTTGCCAGCTGGCTGTGGATAATCCAGCAGAAGTCATCTCAGGCTTGAGTGGGTGATGAGGTCACGGGATGGAGCGAGCCTGAATCCCTGGGTCACTGTGTGGAAGCTGCCCACTGAACGCCCACTCTCTGGCCATTTTGTGAGTAACAGCTATACTTCTGGAGCAACTTAGTACAACATTTATTGTATCTGTTCTTCCTCCAGACTCAATTCTTATTCCCATGCTGCAATTCTGGGTAGAGAGCTGGGTCCCCCCTGCCCATTGATGACTTCCTCGATGGCAGCTGCTGACAAACTTTTTAGTGAGAACCTATGAACTCCTCTGCAAGTCCTCGTGATAGAGCCTGAGCATATGTCACCGTGTCCTCTTTCCTCTGTGGTGGGATGTCCTGGTGCTTACAACTTGTGGAATGACATTTCAGGTCTTGTTGTCAGCCTCTGTGGATTTGAATTCTAGTTTCTGGGCATGCAGCCTGTCTCCTCAGTGCCTGGCCTACCCCAGTGACTTGAGGTGACAAATGATTGTTGCAGGCACTAGCTTGCTGAAAGTTCCCAAACTTGCCTTTAGGCAGTCAAGCCATCTGCCGACTCTGCATGTTCACATGCAGAACTGCCTCATCGTCAACATGCGGTCACATACATTCATAAAGAGTGCCGGGGGAGATTTGGTGACAATTTAGGAAGTGTCAACATCTGACAAACTCAGATCATGGCGACATAAATTGATGGAGAGGCTAAAATGGAGGGGCTCAGAGTGGGCCACTTCTGATCAGCAGCATCAAGAGCAGCCCGTGGTTGACAACATTGTCATGTTGTGTGCCTTCTAATGACACACACAGTCAAGGTCTGAATGTCAGTGTTGCTTCAGCTCCCTCACTGTGTGATGGGGGCACCTGAAGGATGTTGATGTGTGGGTGTTAGATTATCATCGGACGAGTCCATATTCATTTGAAGAATGAAATGAAACAGATGGGATTCAGTTGGCACCATGTCACCTCCCAGTTCAAAGCTCTTCAATGGCTCCCCTTTGGAAGGAAGTCATGCATTTTTCACATGGCTCACCAGGTCTTAAGTATTCTGACCCCCTTCCAGTCTCTCCTACATCACAAGTCCCGCATTGTCACTTGCTCAATGAGTTCCAGTCTTCTCAATTATCAATAGATAACTGTTGAGGAGACTTGCAATGGAGTGAGAGGGTGGAGTTGAGATATGGTGGTGAGTAGGTGGATGCCTCTCTAGACACCAGGGCAATGAGATCAGAAGTCTTGCTCGTTTGCTGCACCAGCATTCCCATTGCTCAGAATAGTGTCTGACATTGAGTAGCTGCCAAGGCATTGGTTGAACCAATGGATGAAGTTGAATGGATGGACCAAGGGGATAATGACCAAGAGGAGAGACTTAGGCAGAAGGAACAGGGCTTGGTGATTGACTGGATGTGGGGGTGAGGTGGGGCTGAAAGAGGAGGAAGAGTCAAGGACGAGCCCATGTTTCTGGCTTGGGGGCTGAATGGCAGGAGGAAAGATTCACTGTGCTAGTGAACTGGGGTGAGTAAATGAAAGATGGCTGCTGCAATAATGAATCTAGTTTTCAAGATTTCTCACCTGCAGCATCTGTGGGATAATTGTCAGAGGACGCCCCATGGGCAGCTGGAAATGTTGGTCTGAAAATCAGGAATGAGAGTTGAACTGGAGAGAACAGACCAGGGAGTGATCAGCCTGTGGATTAATGGGACTGAGCGAGTGGAAGAGATCACAATGCGACAGGTGGTGTGGTTATATGATGATATAGAAAATATGGTCCCTGCCCTCACAACCAATACAAAAAATCAGGATTTGACACAGACCTCAAAGCTGTTTATGCGTCCATGCATATCTCCATAGCAACCCCAAAGCAAAGAGAGAACTCTGCTCTCATCACAGGCGGGAAGCGCACACAGATGGCTGCCGTCTCTCATGTCCACAAATGCAGGGGGCATTCTCACTTCATGCTGGGCCCACAAACAGTGGCATCCGGAGATTCTACTGCTGTAGCCAGTCCAAGTCTGCATCTTCTCCCAAGAATCAGCGGGGTGCTGGTGGGTGCACAGTCCTTACTGAGTCTCCTTTTCTCTACTTCTGGCTCTCTACACCCATCACTCCCAAAGCCATTATGAGGATGAGCATAAGGACCCAAATTGCCAAATCCAAGATGCTTCAGTAGCCATCTCACTCGGCCTTTCTGGAACACTTGATGCCCTTGGCTATTTCCTTCTTGCAAATGACCTCTGGTAGCTTTGGGGAAAACGATCACAGAACATGGATCAACTGCACCAAGTACTTCATTTTCCTCGTAGCCCTGGGCAGTAGGAGAAACTGAATTTTGGAGAGATTAAATAGCTTTCTAACACCATCTGAGCTAGAAAGTTTGAGCAGTAGGATTTGAACCTGGGTCACTTGAAAACAAAGAGCTACATCCTTAAATACCTGCTCTCTCTCTCTCTCTTTCTCTCTCTCTCTCTCTCTCTCTTGATCCCTCAGTCCTTTCTCCTCCATCCTTTTCCAGGCTCCTCTGCCCCTCACTGCAATGCTGTATTTCTTAGCATTCTTTTCATGTCCACTTCTGTACCTGTGCTTCATGGCTGGTTTTATCTTGTGGTTTTATCCCATCCATAAGCAAATGGCTCTTGAAACAGACACTACAGCCCTACATCAGATTTTTCTCCTGATCGCTATAGATCTGGTCACCTCCGGAGCATCTTTACCTGTGTGGCCTCAGGGGCCCTGTGCTCAGCATGTGAGCACTGAAGCCACAGTCATTTCCCCATGTGTGTTCCTTTCTACAGTCTTTATGTGCTGCCTGACACCTTCATGGGCTCAGTCAATAAAGCCAGGAACTTAGGAGTTACCTACCCTCAACTTCCCTCTTCTTCACCCTTGCACTCAATCAGTGATCAAATACTATTGAGTCTGCCTTCCCAGTGATCCCCCAAATAGTCCTCTCACCTATCTTCATGTCTACTGACTCCTTCAGGCCACCATCTCCTATGTAGACGACATGCAGCTTCCTGACTGGTCTCCCCATCTCAGCTACACACTATCTGATCTATCTCCTGAGGGATATTTCTAGAAGTAAATATGGTCACATTGATACCCAATTTCACCTCCTGTTCCAGCTTCCCTCTGACCCTAGAATGAATGGTAAGCTCCTTGCATGGCTCACGACGCCTTGCGTGATCTGGCCTTGGGGTACCTCGCAGTCCTCCCCACTCATTCCCAGCCTCCATTACCTTTGAGCAAGCATCATCTCTGCTCCCTCTGCCAGGCACATCTGTCCTGCTTTTTGTCCAGTCTGAGTTCAGGCATCATTCACTTCAAACCATTCACCAATCTCCTCTCCTCCAGTTTTGTTCCCCTGGGCTGTGTACATATTTGTGTCATCACAACTATGACATTGATGGACGCTTAGGTATGTTAGTTTCTGTTTCTTTACCCCTGGAAGATGAGTCCCATGTTGACAAGGCCTGGGTCTTATAGATTGGGATTCTAATCCTAGTATTCAGTGCCTAGGAATTGTTCATATGTGTTTGCACACTGAAAGAATGAAGTTCTCCAACTGATCTTACATTCTCTAAGATTGAGCAGAGGGTCTCTAATATATTGGAGGATGTTGAACAAGCTGGATTGCACTGGAGCAGTTGAAGTTTTTAGCCTTCCAATGTGACTCTAGTATGTTCTGCGAGGAGGTAAAACAGGGCACAGGCCTGTACCAGCCAAGCTTCTTCCTCAACTGCAAAACTCTGCCCCCACGGAGACAAGTGTAAGAACAACCCACACCACAACTGCAGGCTGGTGTAGCAAAATGTGAATGTTCTAAAGCAAGATGTGATGTTAGACTTGGTGACAAAGAAAACACTGTGCTTGAATCCAGAAGATCAGGGCCTGGCCTCTGAAATGTGTCACGTGTCTGATTTCAGAAAGTCCTGGGACATCCCTGTCAGTCATAGACTCCTAGTCTCTTCAGTGTGGAGCCCAGCAATGAAAAGTGCTGCTCACTTCCTCCCAGGGGTGCTCTGAAGCAGAAACGAGGTGATATGTAGAAGCTCTTTGTACTCGTATGGTGCACGGATGTACTGTGTCCCTTTGCTCAGAGTCCCGCCCAGCAATGAGCGTTTGTCCTGATAATGCCTCTTTTGGTCTCGGCCATACTCCTCATCAGACACATCAAGCTTAGTGCTGAGCAGCTGGGAACCTTGCACTGAGAAGGAAGGCACGTCTTAGACCTCTGCACAGGCAGTTTTTAAACACAGGGAACATGGAGGAAATGCCACAGAATTTATGGAATGAAAGCTTTAAAAAGAAACACAAGACTTGAGTCAAAACAGTTGACTCAACTCTGGGGGGATGTCTGCTTGTAGGTAGGAGGGAAAGAAGAGAGACTCAGGGTGGGTGGAGACAGGGGAGAAAAGCCCCCACGTGGGCTCAGTGGGTCTCCATGCACAGCTCAGGGAGGAAGAGCCGAACTCCTGGTATGCAGATAACATCTGCCATCATTTAAAACAACAACAAGAACAAAAAACAAAACATGTATTTGGGCCCAAAGATTCCACTTCTGAGAACACACTTAAAATTGGGAAGACTGGGAACAACTTGAATGTCATTCAACTTAGGACGGGCTACCCGAATGACAACACAGCCACAGAGTGAAGTCCAAAGTAGCAGATTGACTCATGTCTCTAGGTAGGGACATGATAGATATTCATGACACAATAAGTAAAATTAGTGACAGAATGGCCTGGAAATGATGATCTTGTTTCTACAAAAATTAAAAATACACATATGTTTTATGGGCATGGAAAAAGATATGTGGGGGGGGCTGTACACTAATTTGTTTACAGAGTTTGTGTGTGGGAGTTGAATTATGGGCTATTTACTATATAGTTCAGTGGAGTTGATTGCTTTTAGGAGACATAGCAGTAAAAGAAAAATGTCTAGAAAACAGTCCAAGGCCTCGTGTTTAATTACGGTAAATATCATGGCAAGTCTGACCTTCCTGGCCGGAGTGTCTCTGCATTATGTCACAGATATTAAAATTGTACTGAGTTCTTAATCATGTTATTTTCCTTATGAAAATCCTTTAGGTCTGTCATTTCTGATCCTTCCACTTCATCCTGGCTCATTTATTGCGTACAATCTTCAGAGTATTAGCTCCACTTGGCAGTAGGCACAGAAAGGGCGTGGTCACCCTTTCTACAAATCACAAATCATTGAGGAAGACCTCCAGGAACATTACCCAGAGGAACAACCAAATAAACTCAGTTCCCTGAGGGGAGTGGGAAACCCCTCAAAAAGCTGGGCATCTCTGGGTGATCAACAGCATTTTAAGAGAGCTTCAGAAGCAGGGTGAACCTGGGCCAGGTGTGTGGGTGCCATGTCCAGAGGGTGACACAAGGGGCATGTCCTAGATAAGGAGCGCAAGGGGGGATGGGAGACCTACCTGGCTTCTATCACTAGACAGTGAGTGACCTCTTGCCAATACCAGTCGCTTTCCCTTTCTGGGTTTCTGTTTCCTCTGCAAATAAAGAATTTGCCTTGGTCAACATTTCTCAAGGCACATTCCTTAGAGCTCTACGTCCGGGGTATGTTAATAAATGTCCCTGAAGAAGGTGTCTGTGGTCAAATGCCCTTGAGCAATGCTGCTCGCTCATCCCAGTCTTGACATTTCCAGTGCACATCAGCAGGTTTGCATCTCCCAGAAGTTGTGCAGAAAATAAACTTACTTATTGATATCTACACTGGCCTTTCTCACATTTATTTCACCTGGGAATCCTTTAAGATATTTTTTCAAGTGTCTATCTGATGCATGCACTGAATTAAGTCACATCCTCCCTCTCTGCTGAACTTGCTGCTGGCCCCCTACCCCTACTCTGGCACTTGTTCACGCCCTGCACAGTGGCACCTTGGGCTGAAAACAGAGATGAAGCCCTGTCCTGTGAGAGAGGACACAGAAGTCTGTGACATCTCAGTCCAGGAACTGATTGACTGGGACATGGTGGGGAGGATCTAAATGGACTGGGCTGCAGTCTGGGACACCTGGGTCCAGATGACTGCTTCAGTGGGTGGATGGGGGAGTGGACAGTCTGAGAGCAAGGAAGCACTTGGTACTTGTGTGAATCCCTGTCTCACTTATGGCTGTAAACTCATCTATCTGGAATTAAATACCCCATTTATGCTGATGGCTTCCATGTTTGAATATAACCTTTTGAAGGAAAGAAAGGAGGAGCTTTGGAGTCACACGGCCCATGCCTCAGTTTCTTCTCCTGTAAAATGGGGTGACTCCACAAGTTTTGTCTCACAGGCTTGTTGATGAGGATTACATGAGTTGGCACACATGAAAGTTTGTAGAACAGTAGCTAGCACAGAGTAGGTACTCCAGCATGGCATTACAGTAATTATGAGTTTCCTCTCTGACTGGACAGCTCCACTTGGATATCTCCCAAACATCTCAAGCTTAAAAGGGCCAAAACAGAATTCTTGATTTTCCCAACATATGCCACCTCCTCGAAGCCTTCCCCATCTTGTAATGTCTCCCTACACACCAGTAGCTCAAGCCAGGAGCCTGGAAGTTAAATGTGGTCCTCCCCGTCCAACTTCCCTTTACAGTTTGTTTCATTTCCATCACCTCCTTTCCATCTCCCCTCGCTACACTGGTCCAAGCTGCCTCATCTCTGGATGAAGGAGTAGCATTCAAAATGGTCTCCCTGCTCCTGCCTCCTAATGACTTCTCCAGCTGTGGCCAGAGGAACCTCTAGGTATAAACATAGCCACACCACAGCCCTTCAGGGGCACAGAAAGTGCAGCCCGAGCTTCTGACTGTAGCCCTGTGTGTTCTGGCCTCTGTGGACATCTACTCTTCTTTGTAGCTGCCTCCCTCAGCAGGCCGTCTGGACTCCAATCACACTGGCCTCTTTGCAGTGCCTACACCATGTGAAAACTCCATTGCCACCACAGGGCCTTCATCTATGTCCCCTTTATTGCCTGAAGCTTTGCTGATGGCCCTGCACGGGATGGACTGCTCCTCCACTGGCAAGTCTCAGCTGAAGGCTTGCCTCCTGAGATACTTTTCTGGAGCCACACACCCTCCCAGGGGCCATCCCACTGACTTTTCTCACAGCCGTGTCTTCTTGCCCCTCACAGTCCTTTTCTCCACTTGTAATGGCTCCTTTCTTTGTCTATATGTTCACTGTCTCTCTTTGCAAAGAAAATTCCCCAGGGTCTGGTGCCAGCACTCTAGGAAGCTCAGCTCAGAGCCTCGCCCCTTGCGTGCTGGATGAACAGATGAGGGTCATGGTGACAGGCTCTGCCTCGCATCCACCTTGCCAGTTACCAAAGGTGAAATGTGCTGACCAATAAGCAAAAAATGATCCAGTCTACTTTAGTCCGATAAGCTTAGATCTAGAACAAAGGACCCACACATGGGCCTGTGAACATGCTGCTAGCCACTCAAGATACCTACCAACTCATGCCGAGAGCATTGGCCGAGGCAAGCTCTGTGGTTTCTTCCAACAGCTAGAAACTGAGGAAGACCTCCTAACCAAGGAGGTCATGAGACCCAGGAATTAAGGAACATTGTAGGGTGGCTGGCTGCAAAGCAGACAGATTGTTCATCAGACTGATATCTGGACTCAACACCTTCTAGAACATTCAGAATCTCCTGATCACTCTCATCACTTAATTATAGATGTTAAAACGATCTACATGTTTATAGATCTAGACTTTGGAGGAGAGCCTTTCTTGGAGGATTACTTGTCAGAGAAGCAGTTGATGGTTGTGACCATTTTGTTTCTCAGTGAACACAGGCCCATCTGTCTGATGTTGCTTCCCAGGGAAGTTAACATAAATGTTTATTGACAGTACAGTCATGAAGAAAATACTTGCTGATTCATTGCCATGCCCTGAAACCCTTTGTTTTTCCCTCCTCTTCCTTCCTCTTTATAAAGAGACACTGAGAAAGAGCACATTTTGGGGACCCACGTCACTTGACGTGTGCTTGGGTGACTATTTCTTCCTCCACTGTTTGAAGATCCCGGGCTATTGTGAGGCCAACGGATCAGCCCCCCACCCCTTCTTCTGGAGGACCAGTCCTCTAGGGCATCAGAGGGACAATGGAAGCCTTGGGGTTTCTGAAATTGGAAGTGAATGGCACCGTGGTGACAGTGGCCCTGTCTGTAGTTCTCTTGGCCCTCCTGAAATGGTAAGTGCAGTCAGCCCCAGAGACTGATATCCTCAGAAATGTCAGCCCTGGAGCCTGCTGGTGCCAGGTGGGGTGTGCGGGTGTGTGTTTGTCTTCCTTTCTAATCTAGAGGGAGTTGAGTATTAACACAGCTTCAGAATTAAAAGCAAACAGCCAGGTTAATCTTTTGCTAAAATGCATGAGATCCAAGTGTCAGGAAATGCTGGTGGTTTCGTGACTGAGAACGCTTCACATAATTAAGTTTGAAAGAGATGAAAAAAAGAAACAAACAGGAAAGGCATTAGGATGAGGTGGAAGAATTTCCTCAAACTCCATCGTGTCTTCTAAGATTCTCGCTCAATGTTGGATTTGCACTGGATTCAGCCTCTTGGTTCATATTTCATTAAAAACAGAAATCGCACAGAAGCTGTTTGGTAAATGCGGACCCCTTTGTGGGAAGCCATTGGCAGGGATTTTGGCAGGTTTACCAACAAAGTGGTAGAACTAATTCCCTAAGATCTGGTAGAAAGGCATGGATTCCAAATGAGGTAGAACGTGCAGTTCCCACAAAGTACGAGACCTGGAAAGAGCCTCAAACTTGAACTCTTGAGTTGTTCCCTTGTGGTTTTGTTAATTCAACAGCAGATTTTCTTAAGCCTTGCTCTGGGATGTCTGTAGACTGAAGACCTCCCAATATGCTAAGCTTGTGCACATCCAGCCTGTCAGTTACTCTTCTTAGAGTTCCCAACTCAGTCAAAAGCACCCGGATTTAGGTGGCTCTGGTTTTTGAGAGGAAAGTAGAGAAAATAATGGGGTTCAGAAAGAATTTCAATTTATGTTTCCAGTAGTAATAAAGCCTCCTGTAGATTAATAACTGGGAAAGCACTTTGAAAAGCATCAAGCATTATGCAAATATGAGGTATTATTCTTTTGGAATTTGCATAGCTGAAAGTGGAATTCACATTTGCTGTTCTATGATGATGAAATTACTTCTTGGAAATTGGCTCTGAAACCCGGCTTCAGTTCCCAGTGCTATTTTGCTTTTTAACTGGTTTAATTATCTTTTGAACTTTCCTATCTCGTATAGTTTATCTAGCATTGAAACCAGTCACATGCAAAACCAAGAGCAAATGGGAGCCCCTTGCCCCGCCCCCAAACCTCAATAATCAATTGCAGTGTGTTTTTACGCTCAGTGAAGCCCAAAACAAGACGTTGGCCACTCTCGTTAAGTATCACCTATACAACCTGAAAGTAGAGGAAAAGAGGTCTTGGCTGGGGTGTAGCTCAGTGGTAAGGTGTGCTCTTAGCGTGTGTGAGCTCTGGGTTTCATCTGCAATTCTGCCAAAAAATGTCTTTAGTGGCTTGGGCTTATAGATTCATTTTTCTTTTTTATTAATGTGCCTATTAGGACTGGAGGTATGACCCAAGTGGTAGAGCACTTGCTCTACCCTGAGTTCAAATCCCCAGCACCACAAAGCCAATGCTTATCAGTATTGCTTTTTCTTCAATAGCTGTGATCTGACTGTGGTTCTCAAAGTGTGTTCTACCTGAATCTTCCAAGGGAACTCATAACATTGATGTTGACCTTGTATGCTTCTCTACATTTTTGCTTCTGTCTTGATTGTGTCTTTTTCAGTTCTGTATTCTTAAATCCCAGCTCTGTGCCTGACATACAGTATAGCCTCAATAAATGTTTGATGAGTGAATGAGTGATTGCATACATTGCTTTGCTCTGACCGTGGAAAGGAACCTGTGTCCTTGCAGAGAAGCTGCTGTAACTGGGTGTTTACAATCTGCAGAGGCTCCTGGACACCATTCCATTCGGCAAGGCAGCTGTGCGCGTGTAATCTGTTCTCAGGCCGTATTAATTGGGTTCAAAGACGCAGAGATTAAGATAGGAGCATGAAGCACACAGGTGGTGAATAGGAAGTGAGAGCTGGCTTCCATTTGTTATCACAGAATCACTTATCGACCTGTTAATGTGTGCCAGGCATGGCGGGAGGGCCTGGTACAAGGTCAGAAAACAGGAGATTTGGGTCAGATGTCCCAGGCGGCGGGTGGGGGGGTGGACATGGAAGCTCTGGGGATGAGATCAATGCATGGAGGGGTCAATGAAGGGAAGGAAACTGCAGGACAGCATGGCTGTGGCTCTGGTGCTCTTGGGTCCGTGCCTTGGTTCAGTGCAAAGGTGAGCATCCTTGGGTACCCATGCCCCTCTTTCAGGCGAGACTTCAGGCAGCCAATGAGCAGCAGAGCCAAGCTTGGATAGAGCAAGGCCTCCGTCTGACCACACCTCCTGTGGGCATCCACGTGGGAGAGAGAGATGGGCTTTGTCTCCGGTGAGAGGGTTCACAGGCAAGGAGCCAGAGGTGTGGGGACATGCACAGCCACCCGCACCCGAGGGGAAATTGTGGAGGATGGAGTGTTCTAAATGCTCTGACACATTAATCCTTCCTCTAAGAGGTACACCTGCCATCAGGCAGGGTGAGAGTACAATGGGCAGCCTAACAACTGAGCAGCTAAAATCATCCAGACACCAAGGTTGTGCTTGTCCCCTCACCTGTGAGTTCTTCAAGGGCAGAGTCCAAGTCTCTTCTCTCATTGAAATTCTGGAACTTCAAGTCCATGGCCCAGAGGCCCTGCTAGCCTTTGGCTGAATGAGGTCAAGTGAGAAGCCTGCATTGTTGAGGGCAGGACCCAGGACTTCCATTTGGCCCCTGCTCCTTCAGTGGCCCTACCTGCCCTCTGTCTCCCAGACATCCTGTGCAGTGCTGTGACTGTCACGAGGTTCTACATGTGGCCAGTCTCCTTGCTTGGATTGCCCTTCTTCTCCTCTTCCCTTCAATGCTGAGCTCAGGGCCGTGTCCTCAGGGAAGCTTCCTGTTTCCCAGCAGCACCCTCAAGCCCCTGCTCGGGGCTGCTTTGTTAGATTTTTTTGATCCCATCTCTTTCTCTCACGATGCCTGGCACAGAGTTGGCACCTTGTAAATGTTGGCAGAAGACTCACACCAGCCTTAATCTCTGCCACTTTCTTCCTTGGTCTTCTGCTAGCCCTCGCAGTTCCTACAGATCTTAATTCTCTTCCATGTGACTTGCCCTGTTCCTGGAAGCCTCGAGTGCAGCCAGTGAGGGCCAGCTTGCTGTCTGCTTTTCTAACTGCTGCAAACAGACCATTTTTGTGTCTCCACTCACCTTGTAGAGCCAGGCTTGGCATGGACTTATTAGCACTTAAATATTTAAGTTAAGATATATTTGTTGTACAGGGGGGTTCATTGTGACAATTCTCAATAGGCTTACATTGTATATTGGTTAGATCACCCCCACCATCTCCCCTACCCTCAAGCCTCTCCCTGCCCCACTTAAAGCAATTGCAAGAGGTTCATTGTTTTATTTCATATATGTATACAAAGACCATCAACCATATTCCCTCATCTTCATCTTCTTCACTGACCTCCCTCGCACAGTACTCCCCCAAACACTGTACCCATAGTCCTGTCTTTTGTTACTAATTTCTAAGTCGATGTTCAAAGGGGTTTCTTGATGTACCTGCACTGTGGGTATACATTACTTTGGTCCATTCAACCCCTTCCATTACTCTCGCTTACCCCTTTACCTCCTGCCCCCCGCCCCGTTTTTCAACAGCTTTCAGTACACATCCTTACATCCTCCACCTTCACGATGTTATATTTCATGATATTACTGAGGCTCTAGCATTTTCTTTTCCTGTCCCTCCCCTCCGAGTTCCATGGAGTAGTTCCAGTATTACAGACATGTTCTACATCTGAGTTTGTATATGAGCATGCCTGTTTTTCATAAACAATTATTAAGAGTATTAGTGGCTTTGGAAAGAAGATAAACATAAATTCATTTCATTTAAAAAGGCACTGTTATAAACTAGATGTGGTATATCTGATAGCATTTTCTCAGTGACGATCATTTTAATTGACTGATACATGGCTTCGCGGTGAGCTGGGGTTGGAGAGGGAGCTGGGGATGTGAGTGGTGTCAGCTAGAGGGTCATGAAACACATGCAAGGGTGAACACCATGCCAGATAAAATGCGTTAGAAGCTAAGGCTTTGGCTAGGAGTGGAGCTCAGTGCTACAGTGCTTGCTTAGCATCTACAAGGCACTAGGGTTTGATCCTCAGGACCACTCCCTCCCACTCCAAAAAAAAAAAAAAAAAGGAAAAGAACCTCACTTTTCTGTATAAAATGTTTTGAAATTCTTACTCCAAGAAATAAGTTGTTTGAGTTGAATGCTGCTTAAGGTGACCTTAAGTACTAGGGTGTCTCAACTTTCAAGCAACCCTAAGGCCTGGCAGCTGGATTCCTGTGGGCAGAATAAAGATTTCTTTGTTCATAAAGAAAGAGTGTAAGAAAATGGCCCAAATTTTAAGAGGAGGTTTCTTTTGGTGTTGGGGTGATGGGTGATTTTTTTCTTCTTCTTTTAGTCTTTCTGCATCTTAAGAGCAATTTCACTAAAAAGAGTAGAAAATTGCTCCTTTCTAGTAGTGAAGAAGAAAGTGGTTTCATGCTTTGGGCCTGCGAGTTTCAGGACCGTAGGTTTCATATTTCTGTCACTGGAATAGAAGTGCAGGGGGCTTGAGAGGGGTGGGTTGCTGCTTGGCTGCTTAGGCAGTGACAAGGGCAGTGTAGCAGTCTATACAGCTGTGTATATGAACGTGGTGGAGGTCAAGGAGGGGCTTTTAATGCCAGGCTGCACTCAGAACCCAGGTACCAAGACCCCAAAGTGTGAAACAGTTCAAGATGAAAGTGGCAATCAGAGTGAGGCGGAGTTCTCTGATCAAGGCTCATTCTAAGAACAGTTTTAATTAAAATGTGACTGGGGATTCTTAAGATTTAAGATTATAATGAAAAGTTCACCATTGTACCTCGGAGTTTCTTTCTCAGGAAAGTTTCTTTATAGTGAGAGAACTAGAATCTAATTCCAGATGAACTTCTATTCTCTGACTGTATTTAAAAGAAACCATTGGGGTGGGTCATGGGAGCCACAGTGACAA